GAGCCGCTGAACCTGGCCCTTTGTTTTCTGATTATAAGAATGCCTCATTTTGGGAGCTAACGTGTCAGCTTTGCCGTAATGGAATGGATAGATTTATCTGTCACCCAACTAAAGTCCACCATGGGCTGGAGCAACCGCCCATGGCTTCCATCTTCCACACAGTGACTCAGTGCCCAGGTTGCCCAGTTTGTCCCACACTAGGTGTCCGCAGTTGCCACGGCAGGGAGTGGCAGCTGCAACGTTTTGCACCTGCTCTTCGTTGCCTAGGCCAGGAAGGTGCACTCCTGCCCTCGCTGATGTCACTGCCCTACTTACCTGCAGGATGCCGGAAAAAATGTGGCGTCCCTGCCACGAACACAGCTGTCCCTTGTTCCACCCCCCGCCCCCTGGTCTTTTTTGGGACCCAGGTTCCTGTCTGCCAGTGTGGCCTCTCCAGCACTGGGATGCTCACGCAGCCTTGCCCAGCTCCTGGACTCCTGGACTGCGCCTGCCTCCTCCCTGCACTGTCCTGGCTGGTCCCGATCTCCACAGCACCACTGACCAAGTCAACCTAGGGACATCAGGCACACGGACGGGCTGGAGAAATGAAAGGAGTTGCATCAGATGGAAGCTAAAACTGTGCATGGCGTGTGACTTTTCCGTGATTCAAAACAGAAGATCTCAAGAGTTAAGCAATAATGTTTTTATCTCTGCAAAACTCCTGTCCTCAGACCACTGCCTTCACGTCTCTACCTGCCTGTCAGGAAGCTCGCCCACTGCACAGAGGGAGCACCATGAGCAGAGTCCTTCCATGTGCACTAACTTCCAGGGCTACAGTGGCTGTGCCAGCAACAGCCATGGGACCCCAAGCCCCGAGAAGGGCTTGTGCCTGTGTCTCCCACCACAGCGCGTGTGAGAGTGACGCCCCAGCTATCGCCCCAGGTCTGCGTCACAAGCTTGTTTATCCAGCTTTGGATACACACACACACACACACACACACTCTGCATCTCCCAGAGATGAATATTAACTGTTGATGACGGTATAGTCCACAACCCGGGAAAAGAGGGTGTGCCTGTGACTTTCTGGGACCTAATCGGGTCTGACAGGCAGCATTTCATTGCACAGGATGATGCTGTACTGTCCTGCACCCTGGGTAGGGGTGCTAGGGGTGCTTTCCCATGGACATTGTCTAGAAGATTCCCCGCCTGGGGAGGGACTGTGATTCAGTAATGATGGTGATCGGGATGGATGGCAGGGCAGCAGTGAGGTCCGGAGTCACTTCAGGGGCACATGGTGAGTACGTGACACTCATACAGCAACTCTGAATGCTCGTGCCTGTGCTGGGACCTTGTGTCTTCCCGGTCCCTCTTTATTTGTGCCTACAGAATTGACGCCGTTTGGTCTCCCTCCAGTTTGGCTGCCCCAGCAGCCTCTGCTCCTAGAGCCCCTGCATTCAGTGTGTAGACATTGCCCCTCCAGTCTGTGGGGGAACCAAGAGTGCAAAGGTCCTGGCCATGTCCCTCTGCCCACGGCAGGTGAGGCTGCTGCTCCACACGGATGCTCACTTGGGCCACCTGGAGTTTCCATGGAACTAGCACATCTCAAAGGCATCTATAGTGGCCGGTCTTTCTGGCTTTTTGAGGCTTAGTAAAGGAGACGT